GGACCTAGGACCCAGGTCCACCTTTGCTGGCAGCCTCTACCTGTAGCTGGGAGCAGCAACCTGGGCTGGAGAGATGCAGCTCCCATCAAGCCCCCAATTACACCTGCATCTCTCAGCAGGCCTGAGGAAGAAAAGCAAGCATGGAGAGGAAGGCTGGAGTGGAAGGGGAGGAGAGTGTAAAGGAAGACTAGGGGGCGTCAAGGCCTAACAACAACTCTATGTGAGGAAAACAATTTCGTTCAAGAGGCTATTTATAGGGATGTTTTTCCTCAGCAGTCCCTGCCCCCTCGCCTTTCTTTTGTGTTAAGAGGCGCCTGGCAGATTGGTAAAGGGTTACAGGCAGAGTACAGGAAACTGTGGAACACAATGAACGGGGCGGAGACACATCCCCACCCACCTAAGAAAATCGCTTGCTCCAGTGTAGAAGGACCCTGGAGGGAGACAGATGGGGCTCGGAGCCCGGCTCTGATCCTTCTATAGTTTTCTTTTTCCAAATCAGAAAAAAATAAAAATAAAAAGGCATCGTGCCCAAAGGGTGCAGAATCCAGTGAGGGAGGAAATAGAGGCTGAAGGAAGCAACAGAACCAAACCAGAATTACAGAAATAAGTCAAAGAGGCAAGATGGTTTTTATCCTGAGAACTCCCCCTTGTCAATGAAGAGTGTTTTTCCTACCCAAAGTTCAGTTTGAAAAGTCGAAGACATAGCAAAAGAAATGATCTCAAGCTGTAGCTACTGGGAGTGATCAGAAAACACCTCCAGACGCTCAAGACAGACCTGGCAAGCTTCTGGGGCCACTCATAAAGAACAACAGCCCAGTCATTTTTCTCTCTGGGCTGCTGATCAAAGGCCTCAAGACAAATGGATCCAAACTCAGACTCGGAGCCTAAGGCTAGGCCCTGTGCAAGTTCAGATGTGGGTTATGTAGGTTCAGATGTGGGCATAATAGCAATTCAGCAGGGACATTTGGCTCTCGTTGTGGCCTTGAAGTCTCTTCTCAGTACTGGATTAGGAAGGAAGTGTCCTGCTGCTCTTTGGCAGCATCCGGGCCCATGTTGAGTGGGACAAGTGAGTTTTGTGCTCACTCATGGCTTCCAAAATGCTAAAGACTCATTTAATGGCAAACTGTGCATACGGATCAAATGTCGCAATGGTTTTTTTGGTTTTTGTTTTTTAACTTTCAGGGAAACACAGAAAATCTCCAGACCACTTAGATTTAAAAAAAAAAAAAAAGTGACATTATTCAATGTAAAGATACTAGAGAGTGACTAAAGCACTGTTGAGGAAATTTTAATTTACTTTAAATATTTACTTTAACTTACTTTAAATTATATGTAGATAACTCATCCTCCATCCTGTCAGTTTCTACTCTATCCTACTGTTTATGCCATCAAAGAATATTTTTTCCTGAAAGTTCCAGTGTGGTCCTTGATGTGCAAAGAAGTAGGCTGAGTTACCCTTACCAGTGCCCAGCTCTTAGGAACTTGGTTTGGCCTTTGACTCTACCTTCTTACCTCTAGACATTTTAAGGCTGGTGGGGGTGGGGCATTTATGACCTAATCTTTTTCTAACATTTCTCTTCCCTTCCACCCTTCCTCACCTTAAATTCCTAGTTACTTACTTTTTCAGATGGGAGAGCAAAGTGATGTGTGTAGCTCTCCCTCTGAGTGACGTAACTTTCCAAAAGAAGCAGGCAGACAAACAGACAAATTACTTCATGCCATATCTGAGATGGGGGAGGCCCTTTGAAATCGCTTCTCGCTCATTCTTAACACTGCTTAAGCTCACTCCTGGAAGTCCTGTTAGAAGCAACACTGGCTTTCCATAGTCATGGAGATGGCAGAGCACTGAGGGACAGACTGGTCAGGATGAAGAATTCATTCCAGTTTCTTGTTCCTTTTCTCTCAAGAAGTGAAGTTCTTCACTTGTGTTTTGTTAGTGACTGGTGGTGTGGCTCCATCAGTTTGCATGCCCTCTCACAAAGCTTGGTCCACCTCACCTGGAACTTCAGAGGCAGCCATTTGCAATGTAACATTAACTGAGGTACCATGCACAAGAAGTGCAATGACGGAGCCGGGGGTGCCAGCTTGCTGAAGTCATTTACCCTGGTCATCCTCTGTCCTTTGTTGGCCTCAGAGCCCTGGAGCACAGAGGGTTAGGTAAGACACAAGACATTGTCACAAAGAGCTTCCCTAGCAGTTGATCTCACCCCCAGATACCATCCAAGCACCTTTAAAACAGGGACTGCTGGAGGCAGGAAAAGGAGGAAGTAGGGAAGAAATGCATCTGGCTAGAGAACAAGCTAACAGCCAGCATCTGAGAACATGGAATTCAGATCATGGCCGAGGAGTCTTATGAGAGCATTTAGTTGGCTACCTGGAGAGGGAGATGAATGATGAAGTTGCTGATATTAAATCTAGATTTATGGGCAAACTAGGTAAAGAAGAGGTTGTAACCATAGGTGATACTAAAACCTATTGATACTGGTTGTCCAGCTTCTATTTACTAACGGTGGGGAAGATTTGGGTAGTCATTAGTCCTTAGTAGGTACAAGTAAGGTAGTCGTAAGCAACCACAGGACTTTTTAGTGCTGGGTCTTAGTAAGCAAAAATACTTTTCCAGTAAATTCATAACTTATCACCAGATAGTTTACTTATTCCTTCGGTGAACATTCCTACCCTATCACCATATAACCTCGAATCCTAGGAAATCCGCAGTACAACGGAAGAACCCTTTGGGATCCAAATCTGATCACACACACACACACACACATACACACACACACACACACACACACCACACAGTTATAGTTATGGTCCTACAAAAGAATCTACTAAAAGTAAGGAAGAAGAGAGGGGAAAAAAATAAGACACCGAAAGTCTTTGCTGAAGCACTAAGCAAAGGTTAACAGTTCCACAAAGAGATGCTTCTCTAGATATAAAAGGAGAAATAAGCCATTATGTTAAATAATCCAAACAGCTTACAGGATGCTTGGGGATTACTGCTCTGGCTGTTAGAAACAGAGTCATTGATAGATTTTGAGCAAGCAAGTGTACGAACAACAGCAGCGCTTAGGAGAACCCATCAGGCTTCTAATACGTGGGATGGGTGAGGTGAGAGGAGCTTGGATGCAGAAAAGGTGGGGTGGGTATTCTAACGACTGAGGAGTATGTGATGGCTACCAAGGAGGCCTGACTATGGAGAACCCCAACCGGGAGGCATTGTGAAGGACTCATGCTTTGGGGGCTGGACTAGCTTGGAAGGAGGAGGAGAGAGAACAATGAGTCAGTGGTTACTTGAGGATGTCTCATCAGGAGGACTGAGCCAGGGCTGGTGTCATTGAGAGAAATGGGATATGGAAATAAGGAGAGCCTGAGTACTGGGCACAAACTCAAGTAGCTCCAGAGACCAGGCTGGAAGACAAGCAGAGGAAACTACAAACTAGAAGGGCCATCTCTAATAGGTGCTGTTGTGTCTTAGCATCCACAGTCTTTGCTATGTGAGAACAACTTGTGGTAAAACCAGAGCTTCCATTTTATAGGAGACGACAGAAATCCACATTTCTCATGGAGAAGCACCTTATAATATTAGCTACTAATATTTTAAAAACATGACAAGTTCCTAACACACACACACACACACACACACACACACACACACATCTGTAGGCCAGATTTGGTAGGCTGGCTATCAGGTTATGTCCCAACATAGGAAAAGATCAGAGTTCAAAGTTCATAAATCATCATGATGAAATGTAAGTGACTTTAAAGGGAATCCATAACTAAAATGTTACTATAATGCTTTTGCCATCTTTATGAATATCCCTACCCTTCAAGCCTATATATGGATTTGCATGTATACAGGAAGTTTAATCTAATCTTCATATTGTTAAGGCACAAGACTTTGAGTGTTCAGTGTGTGTTGAGTACACAGAAGTCCAGGAATTCCAACTAAGCGAAGGAAAAACATGCCCTCCTCAAAGTACGCACTTCAAGTTTTAAAACAACCTGGAAGACTTCTCTCTGCATGATGGCAAAATGACAGAGGCCCCCTTAAATCCTGGGTTTTCCGCTCAAATCTCTTGCATTTAGCTTTTTGTTTGTGTATGTGTGTGTGTGTGTGTGTGTGTGTGTGTGTGTGTGTGTGTGTGTGTACTTGAATTTGTTACTAGAAATATAATGTGTGTGAACTTGAATTTGTAACTAGAAATATAATGTGTGTGTGTGTGTGTGTGTGTGTGTGTGTGTGTGTGTGTGTGTGTCTGTGTGTGTCTGAACTTGAATTTATAACTAGAAATATAACTTCCTGGGCAGTGGTTACAAAGTTGCACCTCTCTAGCCGGAGGGTATCCTAACCTCAGCGTGGGAGAGGAGACGTCTGGGCTTCAGGGACCTCAGACCCTGGCTCCGAGAGAGATGGGAGTGGCCAACGAAAAGGCTCTGCTGGTCAGGTTTCTGGAATCCCAGTCTTTGTTAATGTCACTATACTTGTGTCTGAGGAGGAGAAAGGCAGGCACTGAAATAGAAAGTCTCAGGACTGGGATGACAAGGAGGACAACTTCGTGAGCACCCATCCCGCGCCCTCCCAGCAGAGCTGGGTACCGCCTCCTGCGCTGTGCGGAGCCGGGCTGGCGGCAGGAAGCGGGCGAGTGGCCGCGGGTCCTCGAGAGGACGATTTCCTTCGGGCGGCCCTGAGCGATCTCTGGACTCGCAGACCGGCCTCGGTCGAGCACTATCTCTCCCCCAGCCCGCGTGGCTCAACCCACCCACTTACTTCCTTCGACTACACACACACACACACACACACACACTCACACACACTCACACACACTCAGAGCTGCCAAAAATTTCCAACCTCCGCCCCCCTCCCGAGCTGACTTCCTTCCAGCGCTTCCTGAGCTGGACGATCCTGGGATTTGTAAGACAGGAAAAAAGGGACGGCGCGAGGGCGGGCGAGGGGACGGGATGCTCTCTGTTCGCGGTCCCCCAGCGG